GTATTAAACCCTTCAAGAAAATGGCGATTAGGGATTGGTCCTTCCTAGGTTGGGGGGGAAATGGCGGGAGCGCTGCCGCCACCGTCGCCATGCGTCTTCTGTCAGATTGCTGGCAAATCCAGCTCCACTCCTCTTCTTCACTCTGTCTGTTTCTCTCTCTCACTCACTTGCTTGCTCCATCTTTTTGTGTTCATTTCCTACGCTCTCTAACCTCTGATTGGTTGCCGAGAAAGTTCTAATCTAAATGGGTACTTTCTTAGATACCAGATCCTAATCAAGTTTCAATTTTTATTCTTATCAGGATGACAAGGTCGTCGCATTTCAAGATATCAAGCCTGCAGCTTTCAGGTCATTTATTGGCTTCAAATTGATGGTATATTGACTTAGTTCTGTGATCAATTACAAAAATGAGTATTTTGCAATTGCATGGATCAGGCATTACTTGGTGATTCCTGTAGAGCACATTCCAACGGTGAAGGATCTTCAGAGGAGAAGTGAAGACTACTCTTTGGGTAAAGTTGCACCTTTTCTGGTTTTTGCGATGTGGTCTGACTTCTATTATTTACTTTTCATTTTTCTTAGCCATGCTTACGTTTTGCTGTTTTTCTTTAGTGCTTCATATGTTAAATGTGGGGCAAACACTTCTACGTAAAGATGCACCTGAGGCAGAGCAGTTCAGGTATTGTTTCTAATCTAGTTCATGAAAGCATATATAGCTCAAGTGCTAAAACCAATTACTTTTTATTCTGCATAACTCTGCGTGATTACTTAATTTCCTTCACCATACCAATGAAGTGCCATAGGCCGTGCTGGGAAGATTATGAAAATTAGTATTGAGACCCATGTTCATGTTAAAGATAGAGAAAGAAAATCCTGAGCTCTATGTTTTCTGTTTGTTGTTCCATGGAGTGTAATGGCAACAATGGTGTCTGCTTAGGGACAAATACTCTACATCAACTTCTTTTGTATCTGCCTCTCCTGGATCTCATTTCTTAACAAGGTTGTCTCTAAATGGAATGGATGCCATGGAAACATGGTGTAAAGTGATAGTATTGCTAAAATTTTTTTGTTGGTCGGTTTTGCATGTTAATTTTTTTTGGTTAAATACCCTTTTTGGTCCCTCTACTATAGGAAAAAGCCCTTTTTTAGTCCCTGTACCGAAAAAATCCCCTTTTTGGTCCTTACTGTTCACAAATCCGGCCTCTTTTTAGTCCCTCCGTTAAATTTTAGCTGACGTGGCAAGTTAATTAACGGAAACACTCCTTTTTTTTTTTTTATTCTTCTTCCCCGGCTTCTCCTTCCTCCAACCTTTTTTTTTCTTTTACCTCCAGGCAATCCCAAGAGCCTGGGTTCGCAAAACCTAAAAGGCAGCCATAACGAACAAACAAAATGAACCAACCAG